GCTGCAGAGGACCGTACCCTGGTGCTGTCACTGAACAGGATGCCTGGCAAATAGTGCTCTTGGAAGGAAAACTACTTGTTCTGCAGAAGGAGCTGTTCATAATCTAACCTGAAACCCAAGCCCATGGCAGTAGCTGTGACCATCAGTGTCAGCAAGTTACCCACAGCTCTTGCAGGGGAGAGAAAAGAAGACAGATGAAGCCACCACTGCTGCTGTCTTCCACACTGTCTTGTCACAGAGCAAACCCTCCACAGAGGCAATTTTAACCAGGGAAGAGCAATGTCTTGAAGAGAGACATTAATCTGAAGTCACAGAATCCCAGCCTGGTTTGGGTTGAAGGGACCTTAAAGCTCCTCCAGCTCCAACCCCTGCCACGGGCAGGGACACCTTCCACTAGAGCAGGTTGCTCCAAGCCCCTGTGTCCAACCTGCCCTTGAACACTGCCAGGGATGGGGCAGCCACAGCTTTTCTGGGCACCCTGTGCCAGCGCCTCAGCACCCTCAGTATGTTCAGAATGAAGGCAATGAACGTATCTAGGAGAAGGATCAGCTCAGGGTACTCCCCAGCTGGAGCTGAACTCACCCAGCCAAGGGGAAGATAACCTGGCTGGGAGGGGACTCCAAGTGTTGCCCACACCAGCTGAGTTTGGAGTCAGTTCCTAAGGCCAGGATGTGAAATAAACTTCCCCTGCTCAAGGCCATACAGGAAAGAGGTGCAAAACCTCCTCACTGCATCTAACCCAGCAGAAAAGAACCACCCCAAATCCCATTACCAGTCCTCCAAACCCAGTTTTAAACTCGACAGCTCCTTAAATCCGCTTCAACAAGTCTATTTTCAACATTAGGCTTTGCTCTTCCACCTCTCAACTTCCACTTTAGTTGCAGTGAGATGGCTCCCAGCTGCTCCTGGTTTAGGGATGAGGAAACAACGTTCCCTGTCTTACAACAGGATTAGAGCTCCAGCCAGAGCTAAGCCTTCCCCTCCACTATTCTCCTGCCTTTAAACAAAGCTAGAACACAACCAAAAATACACAAGAATGCTGTCAGGGGCTTTGGAGTGCTGGCTTAAAAATATCATAAGCACAAAGAACTCCTTCTGTCAAACAGGCAGTACGAAGCTCCAAGGAGCAGCTTGGTTTCTGTTTCCTCTGTTGCTGGGCAAATACATGAGCGTGGACACAGATGTACAGGGTTTAAAAGGCCTGGAAGGAAATGGAAAGGAACTGGGTGCATTGCTGAGCAGTGGAGGGTATTTGAAGCAAGGGAATTCTGTCCTGGTGCATCCATCAAACTGCACTATGGCCAAGATTTGGAGCAGGAAAAGGTAAATAGCCTTGGTTGGGAGCACGGGATGAAAGGAGCTGGGAGTGCAGGCAGCATTCCTTTGCTGTCACAGGGAACAGTTGGCTTTGCCTGGATATGCAATGCCCAGGAAGCCAGTCTTGTAGTCAGGAACACTGGCCTGGTGGATATGGTAAAGCCAAAACAAAGGCAGCACTAGCCAGGATGACCAGAACAGCAGGAGAACAGCGCCAGCCCATCCTGCAGGGAACATGCTCTCCCCTCCCCTCTGACATTACAAATGAGGAAGATAAGAAATAAAGAGCCTTGCAAAATACATCCAAAGCCATTCATTTTTGACAGCAAGTGGGTAATAGTCTGACACTTCCAAACAGGCTCCTAAAACACCACTTAGTTTGCCCTTAAGTCCTCTTTTCTAAGGGGGACAGTGACACTTGCCACTGTTAATACTCCCCTTCGAGCAGTAGACGGTGGCAGCTGAGATACAAAGCAGCTCATGTTTGGGAACAGCAGCTCCAATCTGGGAATCAAACCTTTCCTGGGATACCCCAGCATGAGAACACCCACAACCCCCCACTCCATCCTGCACAGCTCACCCTGCCTCAAGTCCCAGTGCGGAATCTTGGATCAACAGCAAACCTGACAGCACAGTGCTCCAAGCCTGGAAGGGACAGGGCAGGGTTGGTTTTCATGGGATACGCTTCCTAAAATGCCTAGAACCTGCAAGGAAACAAGTATCCCATCCCTGGGCAAGACCATGGGAGAAGGAATCACCATTAACTTCCTTTAGAGTTTGCATGTATTGTTTGTCCACAAAACACAAGCTGTGAACTTTGCATGGGGAAGCAGATCCCAATCCGAGATCTTCACACTGGGGTCACTGCACCATTCCCAGAAATCCAAGTGCATTACTATGGGCTGGGATTTGGGTGGTGGTTGTTTTGGGTTTCTTAAACGAAGATCAAGCCATTCTCACAGGGCAGAAGCTGGCGACATGCTCTGCCAGGAAAGCAGCTGTTATGGGTTTCCAGAAGTCTTAACCTGCTCCAGGTAGGATCACACTGGGAGTCAGCTTCAGCATTTGGGGACAGGAGAACATCCACCCTTTAGGAGAATTGGACAAGTAAAGCAAAGCAAAACACTCCAAAGAAATGGAGAGCAGCCTCTGACGCCAGGACGAGCAAGAGCATGATTTCAGTGTTTTCCACCCTGAACTGTCTATTTCAGCTTCAAGGACCAGGAATGCAGAACATGGACACCCTGTCACCAAAGCCTGGTGACAGGGACAAAGAGCTGGTAGCAATGGGATTTCCCTAACACAAGAGCAGCTTGACAGGCCCCAGGCAGGGAGCTGCTGCCAGAGCAGCATTTGAACATCCCAGTGCCTCAACTCCAGTCTCCTGATGGATTGGTTTAAGCCTGAGATGCTACAAGGGAGATATTGCAACCAAATAAGTAAATGGCCAAGAGCACACACCAAGGGGTTATGTACCAGACTCCCTCCTTGCCTGTGGATTGCAGACACAGATGACAAGTTTCCTTTCAAAGAACACTGCTGCTGCAGGGCAGTGCCACACTGGAATCCACATCCTTCAGAAAGCAGGCGCTGTGCACTGAATGCCCATCAGCTGCTGCTGCTGCCCCTGAGATGCTAACACATCCCCAAGAGATACTGAAGCAAGCCAGGGAGGAGACTTCAAAATGCAATGGGAAAGGTGATAAAGATGGTTTGGAGTGCTAAGACAATTGCTAAGCCATGTTTCTAATCTCTAACTGATTTTCAGGCACCACAACTTGCAAAGGCAGCAGCTTTCCAGCAGAAGAGACCATCGGTCTGTCCACTTTCCCCCCAGCCTTCCCCACTCTGCTGCTCTTCCTTTCTGCTCACATTTACCCAGTATTAACTCTTCCCATCCATCCATTCATCCATCCATCCATCCATCCATCCTCTAGCAATATTTTCTCTTCCATTCTCCCACCGTGCCTAAAGTTAGACCTGGAGTGTATGAGAAGTCCTGCTTCCCGGGATGTCCTGCACAGAACTAGATCTCTGATGGCATTCAAAACCTCAGCAACAGAGAAATCACCACTTGAGGACAGGCTGGATACCAAGGGGAACAATTCAGGGATGTGAAGGCATGCAAAATGCTCAGGTTCTCACAAAAAGCAAGCTGCCACCTCCACACCCTGCAATGGATTAATTCCTGCCTTACATCCTTGCTTCAAGTGCTGGAAGTGGCAGGGGACTGGTGGCAAAATGTGATCACCTCAGTTTATGGGTGATGCTGGTTAGACAGGCAATGCTGCAAGTGAAAATAAACTTAAGAAGAGATTAAGACCTGTGCTCACTGTTGTGGGGAGCAGCTGCAGCTCTTGATGCTGTTCTTCAACCGGTGAGTGGAAAATTACCCATTGCGGAAACTAAAGAGATTGCCAAAAAGTTGGCAAACCAGCAGAAAGCTCTGCTCATCATGGAACACTTTGGGTTGAAGGGACCTTAAAGCTCCTCCAGCTCCAACCCCTGCCACGGGCGGGTACCCCTTCCCCTAGAGCAGGTTGCTCCAAGCCCCTGTGTCCAACCTGGCCTTGAACACTGCCAGGGATGGGGCAGCCACAGCTTCTCTGGGCACCCTGTGCCAGCGCCTCAGCACCCTCACAGGGAAGAGCTTCTGCCTCAGAGCTCATCTCAATCTCCCGTCTGGCAGGTTAAAGCCATTCCCCTTGTCCTGTCCCTACAGGCCTTTGTCCTGTGCCTACAGGCCCTTGTCCAAAGCCCCTCTCCAGGTTTCTTGTAGCCCCTTTAGGTATTGTAAATGCTCATTTGTAATGACTGTTTTGATCAAATACAAGCCAGACCCCAATGATGGGGAGGTTCAGCAACAGGGACTAACACCAGCTAAGATTCAAAGCCCACTGATCACTGAATTTTGGGCAGAATTGTCAATCCTCCTGTTGATGAAGCAATGACAGCAGGCTTGGAGGTGATGGACAAGCCAGTGCTGCTGCAGGCAGGGCCCACGCAGGCAAGAGCCCCCCAGTTCAGACCCAGCCAAGCTCTGCCAGGAGGAGCAGAATGACCCAGTGGCATCCACCAGAGAGAGGAGAAGCAGTCACAGACCTGAGCTGCAGCGAGGGAGGTGTAGGTTGGGCTTTAGACAAAGCCTTCCAACAGGAAGGGTAATTAAGCATAGGAATGGATTGCCTGGGGAGGGACAGGAACTGTGTTCCTGAAGGATTTACAAGCAGTGGGAAGTATCTGTCACACTGACCACACGGTGGGTAGGGGTGGATTAAGCGGCTGTTCAAAGCTCCGGCTGTTTCCTAACAACTCCCTAAGCTCCCCCCACAATCTCCTACTTCAAACTGTTCCCATGCAGGAGCTGACAATAGCACAGGAATACAGTGTGTGTAGAACCCAGCACTTGGGAGATTCAGACCAACCAAAAGGCAGTGGATTGCAGGCAGGGCCTGGGCAAGCCTCCTCACACCGCTCTGCCGGGCTCCTGGCACCCGTTCCCACCCCAAAATTAGGGGAGCAGCTTCCATGAGCGAGCAGGCAGCTAGCCAAGAGGCAGAGTGACGCCCACCAAGCTTGTTCACAAGCCCGTGCCTTTACAGCCTGGATTTAGCCCAGCACAAGGCAGCCCCTCTTCCACCTCCTGCCCCGCAGGACACGGCTGAGACAGACACACGAGTTACCTTTTTAACATTTTCCTCCTCCTCCTGGCGTTTCTCATAGTGTGAGAAGTCATCAAAGATGGAGGTGGTGTGCTTGTAGGTGGCAATGATTTTCAACACCTGCTTAGCCTTTTCCAGAGGCACCTCTTGAGTGTCCCTGGAGTTGGTCACTGGTTTGTTCTCGTTGTTCTCTAGGCGGATGTGCCGCAGTTGGCTGTTAGGAACGTCCTTCACAAAAATCCACCTGACATCAAAACGTCCCTTCCACTTGTCCTGGGACCACACACCCGCACACGTGTTGTAGTCCACAGCAGATTTCATTTCTGCTACTCCGCAGAAGTGACCACTACCGTTGACACTGAACAGTAAGTAAACAGGGCCCTTCCCGTTCATGGAGCGATAGTCTCTTGTTGCCGTGCTCTGTGCTGCACCAGATGTTGTATTTAATGGAGCGGTGGATATCGTCCTCAGAGTAACTCTTAATGATGAAAACCCGGCCGTGTTTTGGGTTCCAGTCAAAATCCTTGGGGTTGTAGTTGTTGATGGACCTCAACTTCTCCAAAACCGGGTGAGGTTCAGAAGGAGCAGAACCAGAAGTGGCCTGAGACTGTCCCACACCGTTACCGTCCACCCCGTTCTGACCAAAGCCACTGCCGCGGTTCCG